CTGAGCTCCAGCAATCCTTCCACCTCAGCCTTCCAAGTAGCCAGAACTGCAAATTCTAATGCCAGCTAATTTTTTATTAATTGTAGAGACGAGGTCCACCAAGTAGTCCGGGCTGGTCTCAAACCCGCGGACTCAGGCAATCCACTTGCCTCAGCCTCCCAAAGTGCTGAGATTACAAGCTGAGCCACTGCACCCGGCCAAATTGTGCTATGTTAAAATGTAAAAGTTCTGGCTGGGTTCATTACCTAGAAGTCATAGAGATAGCTCTTAAATTTTATCATAAAATTTTTAAAGTTTTTTTATATTTTAGGTACTTAAACCAACTATAATTCATTTTGGTAGAATTTTATTGTTTTATATTTATATCTGATTATCTTACCATCATTTACTTAATAGTGTGTCCTTTATTGGTTTTTAATTCTACTGCTATTGAATTCTGAGTTTTCATATAACAGTATACTCAAATCTGCTGTGGGCTCTATATTCCATTGCTTATTTGTCTATCATTCTTATATTGTTGTAAGTTCTCAAGCTTTATAGTAAATCTTTATATTTGACAGAGCAAGTCTCACCCACCTTGTTATCCTTAAAAATGTCCAGACTATTATTTGCCATTTGCTCTTTCATATTAATCACAGAATCAGTTGGTTAAGTTCTAAAGAAAGATTGGAATTACCCTGAATTTAGTGATCCAAAATTTTATAGATTTTTCTTGGATTTTCAATTAGGATAACTATATTTATCTATGAATAAAAAGACATTTTTCTAACTATTATACATTCTTTTTCTTTTAAAAATAGTTTTATCTTATTTCATTGGCTAGTACTAAAGCAGTCTGGAACAAATGCAGTGATAAAAGGCATCTTACATTTTTTCCTGATTTTAATGGGGAATATTTTAAAGTCTCACCATTAAAATGAGTATGATGTTTACAATAGGTTTCTGACAGGCCTTCTTTTTAAAAATCAGGCTAAGGGGATCCCTTCTATTACTGGTTTGCCAAGAGGTTTTAGCATCATTATGTGTTGAAGCTTATCAAGTGTTTTTTCTACATCTATTAAGATGATCATATATTTTGTCTCCTAAATGTCCATGATAGACATAAAAATGTGTGATCCAAATCACCCTTCAAGGAAGGACTTGGTGTCCCCTTTTTTGGCAGTCTCTGGCAGTTAGTACCTTCACAGTTTGTCTTGGCTCACCCAAGAGCAGGTCCCTTCCAGAGAGACCCACATCCAGTGACTGTGGGAGGCAGAAATATGAAGGCCTGGCTATTGTGGGTCACACAGGGGCAACTCCGATAGTCAAATATGTTTCAAAGCTCCCATGGGCTTGGCAAGGCTTTGTCGGCCTACATTGCAGTGCTCCTCTGCCCTTTGTCCAATCCTGCTTACTTTTTCCCTTCCACATATGTTGACAATCAATAAATATCCTGCACTACAAACTCCTTCCAGAGGATTCAACTTATGACAGTCTATTTAAAGTAGAGATTTTCAAGTGTTAAAAAAAAACCAACTTTCCATTTCTTGGAGAAACTCTTCTTAGTCTGATATGCACCAGGATTTGGTTTGGTAATATTGTAAACATTAATTTGTTTATTTGCCTGTGTGTCTATTGCCAATGTGTCCTTTATATGGTCTACATGTACCAGCTGCCTGGTGGAATATCAGGTGCCATCCATGGTTGTAGAACTTTTTCTCCTAAAGTAGGTGTATACCAATGTCTTATAACTAGCATTATACGATGTTTTTATTCTAGCTTAGTTTTAATTTTAAAGCATCTCCAATCCTTCCAGACAAATTCACTTTGCTCTAAGGAGCAGCAGTCCAGTACGCCTTGTGTTTAACAGATTTTCTACTTTTGGGGCTGGGCCATTGATGGCTTTGCCAGTACCATCCATTTGGGAATCACCATCTTCCCAGTTCAACTCCATTCCAATCTGTGGCCCAAGAGAGCTTCTTAGAAACTTAAGAGGAATGTGACATACAACAAAACACTTTAGAGTAGGGACTCACATCAGCTGTATCTCCGATGAGCTTAAGGAATAAGATAAATAGCACATAACACAACAGAACATTATAAAATAAGTGATGTTCTTTCTATGCATTAACATGAAAAAAATGCAGCTATTGATATTTACTGATAATTTTTCCCAGAGAAGCTTTTATTTCTTACCAGAATGTGGCAGACAGGGTGCAATTTAAATTACCCCCACCCCCACTAATAGAAAAAAAAATTTTGTTTTAAAGAGCAAGACAAATAACTCTTGTAACTTAGAACTTTTAGAAACATATCAATTTTCAGGTTATATTATTTAATATAGATATTTGAAATATATTTTTAAGTGACTAGAGATAGTCACTATTAATATCCATACCACATGGGTTGAGTAAAACAGATTTGGCTATAACAAAAAAAGAATTTATCTAGAAGTTATGAATATGTGCTATGGGATCTACAAAAATGAGTTTATCACAATGAGTGGAAAATATTTTGAGGTAACTGAAAAATAAAATACAAATTTATATATGTCACTGATTTATAGAAATCCTAATTTGCAATATGAAAATGTAATGTGTAAGGCAGTATTTAGTTTTGTAAATTATGTTATAATTTCCTCATTTATAAAGTGAAGGACTGGATTAGATGATAATCAAATTCCTTCTTCCACTAATACAATATATTTCCTGTTTTAGAGATGAGGGTAATCAAGATACTAGACTTACCTATGTTATAGCCTAGCTAGTGATTTATCTGTAAAACCAAGTTTTCTGAGCCTTCATCAGCTTTATCGTCTGTCTTAAAATAGATGAATCCCACCCAGGTACAGTGGCTCATGCCTGTAATCCCAGCACTTTAGGAGGCCAAGGTGGGAGAATTGCTTGAGCTCAGGAGTTTCAGACCAGCCTGTGCAACACAGCAAAACCTTGTCTCTACAAAAAAAATTAGCCAGGCTTGGTGACGTGTGCCTCCTGTAGTCCCACTACTTGGGAGGCTGAGATGGAAGGATTGGCTGAGCAGGGGAGGTGGAGGCTGTGGTGAGCCATGAGCATGCCACCGCACTCCAGCCTGGGCAGCAGAGTGAGACTGTCTAACAAAAAAAAAAAGAGAGAGAAATGAATCTCCATAGAAAACTAAGTCAGCTCTAGCATCTGCCCATAAGAAAACACTGTAAGTTCACTACATGTTTGTTTAAAATGGCACATAACTTAAAAGGATTGTGGTACATCCAGAGGCAGGTTTATTTTGAAAAGGAAAGAACCCATTCGTTCTGAGGTCTGAGTCCACAGGGGATGACTGCCAGGTAAAGAACAGACCAAAGAGGACAAGCCCTAGTACGATCTGAAAGTAGAGGGAGGCAGTGGGGGAGATGAGCTCTCCCAGCACTGAGCTTCCTGGAGGCAGCAGTGCTGTAGCCCAACAGGACAACAGCACAGGGCAGGAGGGCAGCTGGAGCCAGAGTGGGGTCAGAGATAGCCTGTATTCTCACTGGCCTGAATGAGAATAAGATGAGACAGGTTTAATGGTCTTTGCTGGAGGCTTTCTTCAGAAAAACAATTTCCACTGAATCCAGTGCCTTGCTTATTTGCAAAGAATACACCACAACCACAACCCTATTAATGGTTCATCTTCCTGAAAGCCTGATTTTAAACTATTGTGGAAGTGAAAAATTTAGAAATCATGTTAAAAGTTGAGGTTTCTCTTAATAGAAGTCAGTTCTCTTTTTTAGAATCCTCTGCAGGTGTAGGGCTATAGAAACTTTAGACATTTGTGGCTTGGCATCTGCAAAGTTCTCTTCTGCTTTTCTCCTTGCTGTGGCCAGAGAATGCTGGTCCTTTCTGTAATGGTAGGTGTATCTTGCCAGAAAACTCACATATTTGTGGGTGGAGTCAGTTGGGAGCCTGGAAAGGTTTTTTTTCTTTTTCTTTTTTTTTAAAGTCTGCATAGGCCAAACACCGCAAGGATTTCCAAGGGGTGAAAAGTAATATCTTGGGGGTTAGCAAGTTTCCACTGTTTGTGGAATCAAAGGTGCAGCTCTGGAAACATGGCAAGTAACTGATCAGTGGAGAGAGAGCCTGAAATCTGGATAAGTGTGTCCTAGAACTTTCCATCACACGTGCCTACTACAGGTATTGCACTAGTACTTGAAAACTAGAGAGATACAGTCATCCAGAGAGTTAAGTCAATGCACATTATATCAAGGGCATATGCAAAGTCACCATCAAATAGTAGATTTCAATTAGGAGGCGTTCTTAAGTCTCTCTAAGGAATTGATGAGGAGCTATTCACACACCTCCTCACCCCCACCCATCCTGGCCCCAGTAAAATGTATATTTGGGATGCATAGGCCCAGGTTAAGACTTAAGGATACATGGCTTAAAGAGAGAGAATGGTCCTGGATTAAGGCAAGGCCAGCATGGACATGTTATTTTTATTAAAGAATGGATATGCCCATTAGAAAAGGGGGTTGTCTGGGGTTATAAACACAGCAAAAAGAGCCACTGAGTCACAGGCTGTTGAGGCCCACCCAAGGACAGTCCAGAATAGAACCTAGGCCCAGGGACACTGACACTCCTGCTCTCTGATCTGGCTTTGTCCAACATAGCTTTTGTCTATCTGAAGGACACGTCCATAATTTCCAACAAATCTCATCCTCTGACTCTATATTCACCTAGCAACAACTTGACTAAAAGTCAGCCTCTTCTGTAGATCTGACCACAGGGCCACAGTGTTCTGGTCTTGCAAATATGAACATTTCAGTGTGCATGGCAGTCATAGTCCATACTGGACACAAGTAAATTGGCATCCTGTTTATTTCTACATTGGTCTCATAAGCCAGTATGAGCTCACCCTTGAGAGTTAGATCCACTGTCAGAGTGCTGGAAAACTCTATTTTTAAGCCTATCAGACTGAGGTCAGGAATGCTAAAATGCCAGCTGGCATCTCCTGGCAACACTGAACTGGCTATGCACCCTCCCACTGGAAATGACCGTGCTTACCTTTTACAGGACATTGGATTGTCACATTTGCTCCAAGGGCTGCCTCCACGGTGCCTCCAACCATGACAGACAGATCATTATGCTCCGGTTTGGTGATATTTCTTTCAATAGACAAGATGACAGGTGCCTCTTAATTCAAAGGGAGCAAGAAACTATGTTAGGTTCAGGTTTTTGATTTTTGGTAAATCATCTTGCATTTGGTAAACTTTGTTGAACTCTTTGAGAGCAAGGGTGGAATCCTGGATCTCTCTGTATCTCTCGTGGTGCATGACAGGGCCTTGTACATACAAGGCTGAAGGTGCTCAACAGACAAACGAATGGATGACTGGATGGATGGATGGGTGCATTCACAGGGGCATTGCAACAACCATATATAGACTCTGAGGGTATTTTGGTTTTATAAACAAAACTGAGGATAAATTCCCCTTTGACAATTTGAAAAAGAAGGAATTTAGAAGTTCAGAAGAAGCAAAGAAGATATGGCAGGCAGGAACAATGTCTCAGTCTTGGATGAGTTAAAGCAGGGCCAGAACACATTAAGCCCACCTGATTTTTTCTGGAAGAAGAGGGATGTGAGATATTGGGAGAAGGGGATGTTAAAGGCAGGGCAGAAAGTCCTGATCCATTCTGTTGTCTCCTGGTGGGAGTGACTTGGGATGGAGAAGCCTCAAGGAGCCCTCTCATACTGAACTAAAAATGATAAAAGATTTTGGCCAGGTGCAGTGGCTCAAGCCTATAATCCCAGCACTTTGGGAGGCCAAGGTGAGAGGATTATCTGAGCCCAGGGGTTTGAGACCAGCCTGGGCAAATTGGCGAGACCTTGTCTCTACAATAAATCAAAAAACTAGCAGGGCGTGGAAGTGCATGCCTGTAGTTCCAGCTACTTGCAAGGCTGACGCAGAAGAATTGCCTGAGCCCAGCAGGTCGATGCTGGGGTGGCCATGAGTGTGTCACTGCACTCCAGCCTGGATGATGGGGTGAGACTCCAACTAAAAAAAAAGATTCTGTTCAATCAAAACATTTGCCCAGTGCCCACTCTGTAGTCTGTACTGGGGCACAAGGCTTATCTCTTGATAAGCACAAAGTCTTCTGGTATAGGAGGTATCAGTAGACATTTTCAATATAAATGTGCCTAACCCTTATGAAGCTTTTCTGAATATGGTGCCAGAGCCAGGCTGGCATGTTGATGCCAGGATAAAATTCGGGATCCAAGCTCATTCAAAGTTGTACTAGAGAAAGGTCAGGAAGGTAGGAGGCCAAGATTCCTACTAAGCCTCTTCTAACAAGTTGTATGTGTGCCTGGGCGATATATCCTCCCTCTCTGTGCCGCAGTCTGAATCACAGTAAAAGAAAAGGATTGAGCTAAAAGATCTCTCAGATCCCTTCGAACTACAGTTCTCTCACTCAGTGTGTGATTCTGAGAGGCCCCTTCTAAACCTACTTACATAAACTCACTTCGATCTAAAAATAGAAGAGCCATAAAAGCCTATTAACTATGAAGAAGCCTATTGAAAAAACACTACCTCTCTACACTGCAGAAAGTCTCATAGGAGAAAATGTCTTAAATGCCCAATTTATAAGAAGACCATGTGAGGTGATTACAAGTGGATAAGAACTGTCTGCAAGAGAAATTCAAAGTTAACATTTTAATTAATGTGATACCTGCATAACATTTGCATGTAAAAAAAATAATTTTAAACAAACAAAGTCACAATGAGTCAAGAAACCATTCAAGGACTTTCACTTTCTTTGGATGTTGATATTTAGTTAACAGACTAACACATTAACTCACTCAGGAAACATACTTTGTGTCTGAGCTGGAGTTAGGAGTACAAAGTTGGAAAGCACATATACTTACCCTCAAGGAACCCATGGACTGGTGGGATACAGCATTACCACACAGGGTGATGGGTGTTGAGACAGAGACTGTTGCTCACGGCCCTCTCTGTAGAATGGGGGGGTCAGGGACAGCAGCATCTCAGAGAGGACGTTGGGCAAAGCATCCCTTTGCCTTAACACTGTTGTAGGAAAGCATTGGGTGGCTTCCCTACTCCTTCAGTAGTATGTAGGCTCTTAGAGGGAGTGGCCACACTTCTTTAACTGGTTTTATCACTGATGCGTGGCTAGTGCATGAAATAACTGGTATTGGTAACCACGTATTTTGGGGAAGAAAATCTCGGAATGATCATGTTTGGGGGGACCAAATGTTTTCTTCTCTCCTGGAATGCCTCACAGTGGAAAGCTATCCAGAAAACTGAAAAGATAGGAACGCTTTGGCTGGGGAGGGCTTTAGTTGTCACAACTTGTCCTCTGGTCCCGGAAACAACTCTGCCAGGACTCTGGGTTGTTCTGGGATGAACTTAAGAGGAGACTTGAGAGATGCAAGGGAGGCTCCCATTCCCTTCAGGAATTCCAGAACCTTGCAACTGTTGCTTTCTGGAAAGTTCATAATATCAATGCTGCTGATTAAACTGTACCTCATTAATTCCCAATTCATTTGAGTAGCTGTTTTCAAAGGGTAGTTCTCAGACCAGCAGTATCGGCATAGCCTAGGAACATATTTAAAATGCCAGATCTCAAGAAATTATCTATTAGGTATAATGGTCATTATCTGGGAAATGGGCCACTTAGTACCCAATCCTTAGACATGCACGTGCACCCCCGAATCTAAAATTAAAGTTAAAAAAATACTAAGAGTCTAGGTAAGGTAGGAATTATCAAATGAAAAGACTTATTTTTAGCAGAAAAACAAAACCCAAATAAATAAAATATCCTTCACATTCAGGAAGCTTCTACAAAGGAAAAAAGAAATTCTGCAAATATATTTGTTTCAGCTCAACATTCATGTCTTCAAGGATCTTATCACTTAGTAGTATGATAACCCTTCAAATTTATGCAATTTCTCAGTTTACTAAGAGGTCATATAAATAAAACTCATTTGTGCCTTAAAATAACTGTGAGAGATGAAGACCAAAAAGACTCCGGTTTTATGTATAAGGAAATTCAGGCAGACTAGAGACATTAATCGACTTGTCCAAAATCAGATAGCTGGTTAGTAATGGAGTTGAGAGCACTGGCTCTCTGGCCAAAAGTCATACATAATTCTGCAGGGCTTGCTGGTGGAGGGTGTGAGTTTTTCTTTATGTTATTTTTAAAATTCTTCATTCAATGTGAATAAGATAGAGCAATTGCTAAATAAATATCTCAGAACCAGAAGGGGAAAAAGCCAATTCTCAGACTCCATCCCAACCAACTGCATCAGAACCTCAGGGGGTAAAGTCCAGCAATCTGAAGTTTATCAAGCCCTCTAGGTGCAAGCTAAAGAGAACTGCTATACTACAGTTTAATGTTAAAAACACACAAGCAAACACAAAAACAGGCATTCTAGGCTTCAACCATGGGCGTTACCTGCATACAGCACAGAAGAGCTTTCCACATCTGAACCAAGGTGATTAGCTACAGAACATTCATATATTCCTTGCTCTTTCCTTGTAGGATTCCGTATCTGCAGCTTCCCAGTTCCATCCAAAATTATTCTGCAGAACAGTTAGAAAAAGGATGAACTTAGTTAACACATTTAACTGCTCTAGAGTCACAGTAAATTTCAAAGAAAGAAGACTGCAAAATTATAGGTTTTGGGCTGGTGGCAGGGATCACAAAAGATGATTTTGTCAAACATCCTACTGATAGGGAGAAAATGATATATACAAGAAGGGTGAAAAAGTTTTTCCTCTTTTGTTAGATTCACAGCAGTGTTAGAGTGGGACAGTGTTTGGAGATCCAGTCTTCTCATATCACTTTATGCAAGAATAGACTTTTCTGGATGAACTTAATGCCTAATCTACCACATTTGAAAAAAGACAACCTAGCAAACTGATTCATTGGTTGGATCTTAAGCCCTCATTTGCTGCTCAAATCCTTCCTAACAAACTGCAGGTGTGGATTTTCAGTTCAGATTTTTCACACTGGAAGTGAGTAGGTTTTCACTAAGACTGCTTTGCAGTAGTTTATTATCTCATTATTGTATGAAGAAGTCAGTTGAGGTAACAATGCTAAGTCTGGTATACATTGGATTTGGACCATACTGTTAAGAATCAGGGCTAAACTGTATGAGTTCATTATGGCTTCCCAATTATTGAGATTCAAAAAATCTTGCATGTGAACGGCACTTTGAGACTCACAGCTGATCAGGTAGATCCTGATTAGATAATTATTCAGAGAAGTATGAAAGAGTGTTTGTTCTGCTTTTATTTATTTTTTCTTAACAATTTGTACTTACTTCTAGATGACCTAACACAGTGGTCCATATACTATTTTCCCCCGCCCCATCCCACTCTACAGAGCTTAGCAATATGGACTATTCTGACCTCTAAATACTACATGTTTCTTCATGGGTTGAGCTGGGCCACTTCTTCATTTCCTGTCACTTCATGTCGCTCACCCTATGCTCCAGCAGCCATAATGAACTTCTAATTGCTTCCAGAACATTCAGTGATCTTTTATCACCCTGAGCTTTTGCATATGTTGTTCACTTTATATGAAATGCCCTTCCCCCTTTTTGGCAAACTCTGACCTACCCACTGAGTCCTGGATCAAATGTAATTTCCCCTGTAAAGTTTTCCCCGATACTCCTAGAGTTATCTTCTGCCCCCTATGGACACTTTCTTCTCTGGTTCATATATTTATTTGATGAAATATCTATTTCTTCCCACTAGATTGTGATCTTTTCAAGGGCAGGGATCAAATTTTATTAACAGCTGTGCATTCTCCATGCTCAGCACAGCAATTTTAGATAGCAAATTTTCAAAAATCTTTGATGACTAAGTGAATGGATGATTAGAACAGAAAATTAGCACAGAGTAAACATAGGGGGAGGATGCAAGCCCCACGGTAACACACAAAAGTGGACAGAAGTTAGAACAGCTACACTGGCCAGGTTCAGTGGCTCAGTCTGTAATCCCAGCACTTTGGAAGGCTGAGGCAAGTAGATTGTCTGAGCCCGCGGGTTCGAGACCCACCCGAGCAACTTGGCAAGACCTCGTCTCTACAATAAATAAAAAATTAGCTGGATGTGGTAGTGCGCGCCTGTAGTTCCAGCTACTTGGAAGGCTGAGGGGGAAGGATCTCCGGAGTCCAGCAGGTTGAGGCTGCAGTGGCCGGGAGCGTGCCTCTGCACTCCAGTCTGGGCCACAGAGTGAGACTCCAACTCAAAACAAACAAACAAAAAAACACAGCTACATTGTCCCAGAGTAACACGAGGATGGCAGACCTAGCTATTAGAAGGCTGGATTTTTCACTATCGAATCCCTACTGAGGAGAAAGAGTTGGTTAAAAACAAAAGTCTAACCAATGACTATACATGAACAATAAACTAAAATGTTTTAAGTTATTTCATTTCTATGTTCATGCGATTTAGCAATTCTCAAATAATTCCAATGTATTGTAGGCTTCAGTTTAACCGTCCAGTGAGCAGTCACTGAGATAGAAATAATTGAGCATGCATGAACCTCACATGCCGGATGGGGCTACCCAGGTACCTATCCTGGATGAATCCTACAGAACCAGCAAGTAGAGTTCCTTAACAGATCTGACCTTGGCCTCTTCTGCATAATCTTACTCTTAACTTGAAGCAATAACAAAGTTGATCTTTCTATAAATACCTTCTCTAAGTGATCCACCCACAGGAATCCACCTTCCCTTCCTAGATGAGATGTCTATTCAATGGGCCTCTGAAGGGTATTCCATGACTACACAATTTCATCTCATTGGACAGAGACTCTCAGAAACATAATTCCATCTCTGAATTACCCCAACTGAAAATATTTGTGAGATTTGGAAAATAAATCTAAAAGTGAGAACCTCTGCTGTGAAAAGGAAATTAAACACAAACTAAACAAATTAAAAGGGTAAGTTTCAGAGAAAAAAACTGGAACTAAAAATGGATATCTTATTTTCTTAAAAAAAAAAAACAAAGAAAAAAACTTTTACTAGACATATGAAATTGCTTCAATTTCAAGTGATCCTTAAATTATACCTGAGTAGGATAAGCCATGTCAAAATCTCTTCATTCTTTATATAAGATCCAGGTCTCAGCCTGAGAAACTGACGTTAATTCCATTCCATCAAGTCAATCTATTTAAAATCAACTGAGTTCAACAAATATTTATTTAAACTGACCATGCTCCACTGTATCACTTCAACCCTCTCAGCCTGTTTCCTTATCTTCAAAGGGTGATCCATGGACCTTCAGGGGTCTATGAGATCACAACTATTTTCATACTAATACCAAATATTCTGTGCCTTTCTCACTGTGTTGACCTTTGCCCTGGTAGTGCCAAGACAGTGCTAGTAAAACACGAGCATCTTAGCATGAAACAAGGCAAGGGCACCAAAGTGTACCAGTAGTCACTGTATTCTTGACTCCTGTGCACTTGCAGTAAAAACAAGAATGTCTTTAATAAAGTAGGCCCAATGGCTCATGCCTGTAATCCCAGCACTTTGGGAGGCCGAGGCAGGCGGATTGCTTGAGCCCAGGAGTTTGAGACCAGCCTAGGCAACATAGTTAAACCCTGTCTCTACAAAAAATAAAAAAAATTAATTGGGCATAGTGGCATGTGCCTGTAGTCGCAACTACTCAGAATGTTGAGGTGGAAGGCTCGATCACCTGAACCCAGGAGGTTGAGGCTGCAGTGAGCCATGATCATTGTGGTCACACCACTGCACTTCAGCCTGGGTGACAGAGTGAGACTCTGATTTAAAAAAAAAGAGTGTCCTTAATAAAATAGTAGAATTTATTCATCTTACTAAATGTCAACTTTTGAGTTCATATACTTTTAACATCCTGTATGACAAAAGGGGAAACATGCACAAAGCACTTTTGCATGTTGAAGTACACAGGTGTGAATATGTGAACTGTTCGCTTACTAACTGCTTTCTTCATGGAATATGATTTTTTATTTGAAAGAAAGACTGATGACAAACTACGATTAAAAAAGAAGTCCACACTGTCATTTGAACTTGGGTATTTAGCAGGTGTGTGTGTGTGTGTGTGTGTGTGTGTGTGTGTGTGTGTGTGTGTTTGAGTTGGGGTCTCACTCTGTCATCCTGGCTGAAGTGCAGTGGCACAATCATCGCTCCTTGACCTCCTGAGCTCAGGCGATCTTTCTGCCTCATCCTTTGTCCCGAGTAGCTGGGACATTGGCAGTACTGGGAATCTGCTGGGGTAGATACCTCATCAATAGGGTACCTGCAAAATAAACATTTGTATACCTAACCCTGAATTGTACCCCACATCTTTAAAATGAAAAAAATAAAATAAAAAATAAAAAAATAAGGCCTTAAAGTAATTATGTGCAAATAAATCTTCAAAATAAGACTGCTGTGACTGTCCTGAGTAGGTAGGATAGCTGGGACTACAGGCAAACAACCATGCCCAGCTAATTACTTTTTTTTTTTTTTTTATAGCTACATGACCTCAATATGTTGCCTAGGCTGGTCTTGAACTTCTGGGTTCAAACAATTCTCCCACCTTGGCCTCCCAAAGTTCTGGGATTACAGGCATGAGCCACCGTGCCTGACCAATATTTGTGTGTGTGTGTGTATGTGTGTGTGTGTATTTTTTTTTCTTCTTTGAGTTGGAGTCTCACTCTGTCGCCCAGACTGGAGTGCAGTGGCCACTCCCGGCTACCACAGCCTCGACCTGCTGGGCTCCTGCGATCCTGCCGCCTCAGCCTTCCGAGTAGCTGGAATTACAGGCATACGCTACCACGCCCGGCTGATTTTTTTTTTTTTTTATTTATTGTAGAGATGAGGTCTTGCCAGGTTGCCCAGGAGGGTCTCAAACCCGCAGGCTCAGGCAATCCACTCACCTCAGCCTCCCAAAGGCACGGGATTACAGGCTGAGCCACCGAGCCTGGCTGTGTGTGTGTGTGTGTGTGTATGTGTGTATGTATATATATATATATATATATATTTTTTTTTTTTTTTTTTTTGAGTTGGAGTGTCACTCTGTCGCCCAGACTGAAGTGCAGTGGCCGCTCCCGGCCACCGCCGCCTCGACCTGTAGGGCTCCGGCAACCCTTCCGCCTCAGCCTTCCTAGCTGGAACTACAGGCACGCACTACCACGCCCGGCTGATTTTTGATTTATTGTATATATATTTTTAAATGAACAAAGTGAGCTGGTCAACTCAAGGAAACAACTGACGGTATTTGTTGCCAATGATAAAACTTAAGCTTTCAAGTGAAAATTAAAATTTTGGAAAACGAGTATCCACCACTGTGAGTTTGACAGTTTCCAAAACTTAAAGACTTTTCTGATGAGATACATAGTAATATTAAAGGATATGTGTATTTACATTGTATAATGAAATGTGTCAACATTTAGAAAATCTGTATAACTCCGTGAGCTAATATTTCCCAAATGACCAATGTATAACATTACAAAATCTTGCATGGGTAAAACAAGTATTCAAAGTGCAGGAAAAATTAGTAGTTTTCATTGAACAGAGTATCAACATTTCATTAATACAGTTTCAGATTCCATATTTCAACGAACCACTGGGAAACTATCACTTGCCTATTTTTACTGAAGCATTAAGGAAGAATATCCACAATTATCTGAAAGGGTACTGAAACATTCCTTCTTTTCCAACTAACACATCTATATAATGCACATTTTTTCCTCTATATACTTTAACTAACATATACCACAATGAATGCAAAAATAACAATCCAGCTTTTATTAAGTCAGACATTAAAGATATCTGCAAAGACATAAAGTAATTCCATGGTTATCAGTAATTTTGGGGGGCAAGGAATGCTTTCAAAAAATATGTTATTTATGTGAACATGTAATGGACTTTTTTAAATAAATGGATTAATAGAGATATTTTAATTGTTTCTTGGTTTCAATTTCTAATAATATAAATAGCAATAAACATACACAGCTCATATTTACAAAAGCTCTTTGGGTTCCTCAATCACTGGTAAGTTTAAAGAAGCCCTAAGACCAAAAGCTCTAAGAACTGCTAAATTTTAAGATTTATTTTACTTCTAAAATTTCATTTCACTCTATTGAGTTCTAGGACAAAATATCCCAAAATTATATTTTTTACTGCTTTTTCATTTTAAGATAATCATTTATTATTAAAAATGATTAATCATTAATAATTTATTATTAAAAAAACTGAATTTTAGCTAGATTTCCTCTGATGTTTTACATACTAGGCTCAATGCACAAAGGATATGATACAAAGAAACCTTGTATTTTGAAAGTACCTTACAGTCTGCAAAACAATTCACATGCGTTTATGTCCCTTAACAATCACTAGAGGCAGATAAGATTGTTTTACGTAAAAGGAATGAAATGTGACATGTTTGCACTGACATAGATAGATAGAGATCACAATAATATATGACTTAATGCTGTGTTTTGGACATCTTAAAAACTGTGATTCTTATCATCCTATTTTTGGATTGTATAACATGAAGACATTGCATGTTAATAGAAAGTTACTTCAGATATCCAATATTTCTACAAAGGCTACTTGTATGATATTCAGATATCATTGGTGGTGTTCAGGAGATATAGCTCCTAGTTCTGATTGGCTATAAAGTTGTCATGGAATTTTGGTTCTCAATGATCTCATAAAATTAACCTCTGCACTGCCAAGCTCATGGGGCTGATGTGAGCTCAAAAGAGGTACCACATTCCTAGATATGGAAGAGCTCCATAAATTCTGATTTGCAATTCCAACAAAATGTAAGATTACTACTAGTAAGCTTACTTTTTAAATGGCCTTATATTATCTAACTTTTAAATGTTAAGTGTTGTGCAAAAGGAGAGAGTCTATACATGTTTAAACTCATTCTTATTGTATCTAGACTTGTATCACACCCAGATGATCATGATTGGGATAATATGATGGCTTAATTTAGAAAATCCCAATGCGAAAAACACATCCTAACATTTTTTAGTTTCTTTCCTAAAGAATCTTGTTGGAAACACATTCTTAGGAGAAAGAATTTGAAAATATTTGCAAGAAAACTGGAATAGCCATTAAGAAGGTACTAGAAAAATGAATACCACATTCTTATTTCACTTACTTTACTGAGGGCTGTAACAAGGCTGCATCCTTGGTCCACGTATATGTTGCCTCACTGGGGGTAATAAGGTCACATAGTATATTGATGACCTCTGTTCTTTTTGTAATGTACACTGTATTTCCAATCCTTGAATTTATTGTTTTATTAAATGAAATTGAGGGAGGATGGCTTTGCCTCCTGAGAACAGGTCTCTTTGGCTTGAATGTCAGCTTGCCTGAGTTTTTTGCATCCAAATTTTGGGGCACACTTCCTGTATCCCCCCTGAGCAGAGCAGCAGGAGGCACCTCTTCCTGGATGCCCCTCCATTGCATATGTGTTGGTTGTGCCTTAGCTAACTCGGCCACCAGCTGATATATCACCTGGGACGCAAGATCATCGCTGACCTCTCCAGTTTCCATGAGCTGGCTCATGTTTCGTATCAGCTCGTCAAACTGGGCTGTATCCATGCTATATGCTCCCTGTTTAATTGCTGCCTCAAATTGCTTATTCTTAAACTCCCAGGAGTTGGTGTTTCCTGCAGAATTGCTGCAGTGACCTAACAGAGCTCTCAAGAAGGATTGGTTCTTACTGTGACCATCCTCTAGATAAAGCTCATTTTTGTTATTCCATATTTGCCGCATTTTATGCCATGTGATTCCTAAACTGTTGGCTTCATTGTGGTCCATTCCAGGGTATTCCCGCATGTGCTCTCTGAGGGCTGGGTGTGCAATGAGTCGGTTGTCAGTGCCAATGAGTTTGAGCACAACTGTTTCCTGTGCAGAGCCTGCAATGCATCGGTACACACCGATGTCAGGGGCGGCAAGACTGTGGATTTTTAGTGAACCTGACTTGGTGATGCCAAGCCGTTTGGAATTCTGCAGGCAACGGTCATCTTTCTCCCACTGGATCAGAGATTTCTGGAATCGCCGCACTGGGCACTTAATAATCACAGATGTATTGGGCAGCAAATAGGCTCTGCTCCCAATGGTCAGGTTAATACGCTTCTCTTCCCGTGTCTGAATGTAGACTCTCTGGACACTAAGGATCTGAGGCCCCTGCTCACCAAGTTTTGTCTTCATTCCTGGTTTTATCTCTGTATAGAAACAAAAAGAAAGAAAAGAAAATGCAAACATCTAAAAACTTTTTGACAGGAATCTTCCCTAAGCCAACAGATGTATCTTTTTTACTCTTTTAAAAGTAAAAAAGAGAATGAATGAAAATTTAAGAATGAAAACCTGAGCAGTATTATGCATCCATAGGTTGGGGGAAATTTCACAACTCTCTAGAACTTTAACAGCAGATAATGCAATTTTGAGTAAGTTGCATAAACATGAATTATTTTACAAAACACTGGTTTGAGGAGGAATAAGGTTAAATGGTTCAATGAAATATAGGGAATGGTTATTTCTAGATTTAGGGAATATTTGTTCCACAATCATAGGATGACTTCATAATTACTCAGCTCCTGGGTACATATTTCCATCAATAAGGGGTTGGTCTGATATGGTGGACCTCTACCATCTGGCAGGGAGGCCTTCAGAAAGCCAGTCTGCCTTGGATACACCAAATCTGAGTGAGGAAGTGAGAGTAGGAGTGGGAGTGGATGTATCTGAAGGGTCTGAAAAGGAGGATGAGGCTGGTCAACTGCAGAATATAACCCAAATATGTCAGTTAAACTAGTGTGGGGGTCTGAGGAAGCAATAGGGAGCCATGATCATAAAAAAAGGTAGAGAAAGCTATTTGAAGTCAGACAAATCTGAGTTTAAATCAGTTCTACTACTTGGACAAGTCCTTTAATCTCTATGAGCCTTAGTTTTCTCACCTGTAAAATGTGGATAATATTGGTACTTGAGGAATGTGAAAATTAAGTCAGATTGTTTAAATCAAGTGCACAGAACAGTAGTAAGCAATAATAAGCTCACTCTCATATATGATTACTGTGCCTATTGGCCAGGTAACAAAGGCAAGTCCAGTCAACAAACAGCAGGGCAGACTGAGAGGGAATCAAAGTTGGGGCTGGCTTTAACTTCTTCCTGGGCATCGACTCCTCTTAACAGGCTAGGCCCAAAGACAATACTCCTCAGATCCTGCCCCCAGAAGAGGTAGCTCTCTCTCTCGGTTCACCTGAGGAAAGGCTCAAAGTCTTCTGGAGCGATTCCGAGTTAGGGGTGGGGGAACTGTGATGTGGGTAGAAGTCTGTTTCCTCTTGATGTATTTAGGTCCCTGAGCAGATCACGGGGTATAGGCTGGAGGGCTTGGAAACATCAGTGAGTGGTGGAAGAGAGAAGCTAGACTCACATCAAAGACATTGCTGGATTCAGAAGGTCATGAAACTGGGAGTTCATTACCTTGGAGGACCCCATTACAGGTTCTCCTGATTGTGGCACAGGCTGGGAGAAGAACCAAATTGAGACAGTCCTCTTAGACGGCCTTCTCAGGCCCTTGGCACTAGCCACAGCGTGCTTACTGATACCCTGATTGGTGAGTACAACTCCTGAAGTCCTCTTGGATGCCTCATGAGCCCTTTGAAGTCTGGTTGCCTACTGGGGTTTGGTGTCAGGAAGACAACAGGGATGGGCCTATAATTTATGTGGCAGAGAATGTTCCTGGTGAAGGATATGCATAATGAGTTTGCATGCAAATTCCACAGAGATACAGTTGGGAGGGCTGGCCTATTGATCTCCAGATGGGTCCAGGATTCTGCCTGAAGACACTCCCTCAGCTCCTCTCTAAGTAGAGTTGGATGACCTGTCATGGACACACCTTACCTTGTTGGGATACAGAGGATGTCAAAATGGCCCTAGTCAGGTAAGGCATATAAATTTTCCATTAACTGACAAGCATACAATTTTGAACTTAACTATAGTTAAACAAAAATCAACAGTTGAAAAAAAAAACGTATGGAGGATTCCCTTGTGAATTTATAGTTCATCTATCACTGTAGATAATATAGATGGCATTCAAAATACTTAATCTGCATAGCAAGGGCTTGATCAAACAGAACAGATCTGTCTGTAGCACTGGAACAGGGTCTTACAGACCCCTATGACACAAAGTATTACTTGTTACTCCATAGTTGTTAGATGATGGGAAAGTCAGGTGGTTGCTGGCAGAGTGGCCCAGAGAGGTGTCATGGGATTCAGGTGGAGGCTATTTACCATTTTTTAAAATGACCTGTTTTAGCAGCCAGTATGGATATACTGGTGTGTAGAGGTTCAATATCAACTCTGATCATAGGTACTCTATCTAAAAAACAGCTCTCAAACTTTGCTATATACTAGAATAATCTGTTGTTGTTGTTGTTGTTGTTGTTATGTATTAATCTCGTTGCCTTGGGTCCCAACCCTAGAAATTCTGAGGACCACTGACCTGGAGTTTACCAGTGAATTCAACCAAAGCAGTAGAGGATGACATTCCTGACCAATTTCTTTCACTGAAGGACAATTTGATAGGATGTTACTGAGCAAGAAGGATGGGACAATAAGAAGCAGCATCTGTCTTGTCTGTGAGAACCCTCCAAAGCCTTTACCACATGCAGTGTCTTCTGGTAGAAGATTGTGGGAGGATTTCTTTCTGGTTTTAGCATCAGGAATCATTATACTTTACTCTGAGTAATTAGTTCATTTCTTATCTAATGAATACTAAACTGTGTAATTGCCTAAATTGCCTTTTTTCAAGACGGCTTTAATGTTAGCAAGTTTAGAGTCAAATGTGTGCCCATTGGTAGTGGACAGTAGAAAAATGGATGCACACATGGCTGGTTTTGTAACTCTCTCTTCACAAACAGAACACAGACTGGATAGAGGTCAAGCTTTTGAATTCATGTAACCGAGGAGTATGTGGAGACAGATTATTTCCCAGTAGCAGTGGTTGCTATGGATGTGGAAGAAGTCTGACTGTTTCTACTCTTACTTGGATGATGGAGAAGCCTGCACAGGGAAACACCTGGCTGAATGGTTCACACAGGACATGATCCGAGGCTGAGGTGAGGCCTCCAAAGCATCCCGGTGCTTTGAGACTGACAGGGAAGTGGGTCTAATTACCTTCAGTCCACTGGTATCGAATGTCCCTCAGCTGAGCTTGGGGCTCAAAGTTGATGAGACCGTGACTCCTTTTAAGGTAGGCCATGAAGTCTGCAGATGGTGGGCTTTGGCAGGCAAGGTTTGGCTTTGGTAAAGAGCCTGCCCTGAGTGGCCAGGTAAGCACAGGAGAAGCCCAGCTGCTCCTCTGGCCACGTGCCCATTCACTGGAAGGCAGGCCCAGTAGCCCCAGCTGGCCCCATTCCCAACTCTGCTCTGGCAATTCTCACACTGGGGCATAGAGGTTTTCAGTTAGCAGGTGTGCCTGGGGAGTGAGTTGGGATTTCAGCCTGAGATCGAAATTCATGGGCTCTGCCAGGTTGCCAGTTTCCACAGCTTGGGCCAGTTTCTCTCTTGGGACTCCCATGAGTCCCTTCAGAGCACTGCCTGGAATGTGGTCACAGTTCCTCAGCAAGAAACTGGTCTGATTTTGAGTGCCTCCTACGTCTGGAGATGCCCCAAACGGCAACATTGGCCAAGTCTGGTTAGGCAGGAGTGTCATGCACTCTGCAGAGAGTGGCCAGGCACCTACAGCACTCTCCTGAAGAGGTTTCTGGGCTGTGTAAGAGTAGCCACCCATCCCTCCACCTCACCCACTGCAGGATGTGAGAAATGAAACCTTTTTGACTTTTCTAGAAAATGAGGACTTTCCTCTGTATGGCCTCCTTCTGAGTCTTTGTGTCAGCCGGCCACACCCAGTCAAGGCCAGTACCAAGTGCCTGAGGTTGTTTACGTCCATTGCCTTAGCTCCTTGCTTACTCCTGTCCTGCCTCTACTCTGTCCCTGCCTTGACGCCAAGTCTTAGTGCTGTGCCAGATTTCTGTCCCAAGCCATCTGGCTGGATATTTACATGTGGTCTTGCCAGCACTTGACTCCTGCCACTCCCTGATGGGCTTTGGCTACAACACTGCATCTACGCCTTCCTATTACCCTGCCGGAATCCTGGCCCCCTTCGAATTCAGCCTTGAATTTGGTTGCTTGGCAGGTGCTGGTTCCTGCTTCTTTACTAGGAGCAAAGACCTGACAAGCTCATTTGAAGCAAACTAGGCAGTTTCTTGGGATTCTCTTCAGGCTTCTCCAAGGGCAGGAACACAGGTAGCTGAGCAGAGCTGGCAAGGGATGCTATGGGTGGGACTTGTTAAATGAGCAGTGGGGGCCCCTGAGGTCCAGTGGAGGACTGGCTCATATGAATTCCAGATCAGCCTGAAAAACAGTTTCTGCTTACTTGCTTCTCTGGTACTTTTCAACCAAATTCAGTCTGGCTTCTGCCCTAGCACCCTACTCAAATCTCTTTGGGAAAGGCCATCAAGAGCCCCCTGGTGACAAATCCAATGCCTTTCCTTCAGTATTCTCACTTGACCTTTTTAGAGCATATGACACCTTTGAATCGTTCACTTCATGAAGAAGTCTCTCCTCTCTAAGTTTTTTTAAATCCTTCTTTTGGTCCTATCTAATCACTGTTTATTGCCGGTATCCTGCTGGCTGTTTCTACCCCTCAGGTCCAGTGCTTGACCACTTTCTCTTCTTGCTCTATATTTTTCCTTGGATGTTCTTGTAGTTTTAACTAACAACTCTAAGTTGATGCTTCCCACAACTTATTGTCTAACCTATATCTCTTTCTGGAGATTTCTGCTTACTAGAAATCTCTTCCAGTTACCTCAACCTTAAAGTATTATCATCTATGCACATTTTCTGACCCATGGCCCATCCCATACCAATTATCTTCCTCTTCTTATATTCTCTAAGTTAATGGCATCACCTTCTATTAATACTAATTTCCTCAAGCCAGACATCAGAGAATCATCTAGATTCCTTCCGGTTCAGTGGTATCACTGACCTACGAGTCAGAGAGCTTGCTAGCATCTCTTTCCTTCTTTGCATTCAATAATGTTACATTGGTAGCTGGAAACCTGCTTTGGTGGGCGTATTCACACTATGGAAATAGGCAAACACAAGCCTTCACAAACACACCACTTACCCAGCCCTTTTTCTTTCTACTCTTGCCAAGCATCAG